ATGCAGATTTATTTGATACGGAAATTATTTATAATTCGGTCGAATTTCAGTCAGCAATAATATTAAAAATTTATGATAAAGTAACGCATTTTCTCATATACGATATTTTCACCGTTGGACGCGCAGATCGATCGTGTCTCGCGGGTTTTTTTTTGGTTTTTTTTTGTTTTTTTGTTTTTTTTTTGTTGTTCAAATTGGATATATGTACGTTTTCGTTTCATATAACGAGGCGAGATATCGAGAATTTTCGTATGTCTGGCGTATCTTCCATAGTAATCGATACGACTTTTACACAAGCGGATAGATTGCCTTTCCGGGTAATAATTAGCGTTTCGCTCGAAGTTTATCGTACCGCCGCGAGTGTAATTTCCCCCGAGGATGCAAACGTTCGTGTTGTAAATTTGTATACGCGCGGCTACACCAAACACATGAAATACCTTCAAACTGAAACTAAAACCGAATTTTCATTCGGAAAAGCTAAAATAATTTTTATCCACTTCTTTCACCTAATGATGGTTTTTTTTCAATATTTAACTCAATGATTTCCGAAATTGACGCTAATTAAAAATAAAATATAATTTATGAAATCCCGACGATTGTTGGAATTACTGGATTTTTTCATAATTCCTTTAGTCGATTTTTCTCGCTTTTTTTAAACAAGTGACAACTTGGCAGCCAACGAATTGTGAAAACAATCACTGTTTATCGGTGATCTTGTTTTATCTTTAATTTCTAGCCATTTTATTCGCTGGCAATGACACAAATGGACGCGCGTGCGATATTAATTCGCGAAAGCTTTTATCATGCATACGCGATATGCGTGTGTACGAGAGTGTGTACGGGGTGCGCCGCAAATTGTGGCCCTAATTTTAATTATTGAAATTATAGAATTTAATGAAATAATAACATTTAGTGAAATAATTATATGAAGAATTCAATGAGTAATTTAATTAAATAAATAGCAAAGAGTAATAATGCGCGAGTATAAATCAAATGTAATGAAAAATAACTTCAACAGATATTGCATTATTTTATAAGCGTTCGGTTCTCATAGTTCGTAACATTGTGTTTACTGTCATCGCTTCGAGTTTCGTCGCCTTAACTTTGAACGAGTAAAGGCAATTATAAAAGTGAAGAATTTCGAGTCGGTCGGTGGTTGACGAACTAACGGAGTGTCTCAGTTCGAGTCGAGTGAGTCTCTTTTAATTACGGCAGCCGTTTTCAGATTATTTAGTTTTGGTCGATAAAGGCCCTTGTCTTTAATCTAAGAACGTTTGCTCGCGAGTATATTTTTCTTTAGTGTCAATTAAAGTCGGTATAAGTCGATATTCTCTGTTAGTCACACAAAAGGGTTCTTTAAAAAATATTTTCCGCGATATTTGAAAGTCTGTAACCGCTGCAGTTACTTTCCTGTATTTTCCTTTAGTATCCATTGCATACTCCGGTATCGGCCACGTTACTCGTAAAAGGCCAGTATACTTCGAGCGCGCGCGCGCGCGCGCGCGAATAGTATCTTGTATATTTTTTTTACAGTATAAAATAACTTCTGCGCTTCGCGATGTACTCTGTTTTAACGAGAAACATGCATTTATTAATTCGTGTAATATCTAAAATGATATTTTCACTTTATTCATCTCTTTTTCTTCGACAACGTAATATTAAACGGTATCCGTTTGAGTGATTTTCAACGTTAATTTTGGAAAAAAGTGTCCTCTCTATTTTTTGCGGTTCATTGAGTCACGGCAAGTTGATATCGCCAGCTTCGTTATTTACTCTCGCGGACGGTCGCATGGTGCCGATGACTTTATCACATCTGTAGAGCAGCTGCCCTTTTTGGCACAGCGGCGCCGTTATATATGTTAGAAAACTACTATCACATTTTAGATTTTACGCGTTCTTTTTACATTTTCCTTTATCCCCTTGTTGCGCCTCTGCGTTGGAACCCACAAAGGGTTCGGAAATTTGCCGTGACAGGCTGAGGACGTGAAGTGGAAAGCTGGGGCGCCAAGAATTTAATAACATAGTCATTTACGTAGAAAATATACCAGTTTATTTTCAGACTAATACAGTCTTTTCACATTTTCGTACTGTGATTCACACTGTTGTTTTAGCAAAATCTTAAAATAACGTCTATATTATGTCTTATACTTTCACAATGATGACTGTTCAACCTGGAATTTATGAGCAAAATGAAATTTTCTTCTATCACATAAAATTTAATTAATTAGAAAATTGGACACTTGAATTTTTAATACAGAAAATAGACGATAAAATGTATTTTTTCTATCAATATATAAGAAGAGGCAATCAATATACAACAAGCGCCACTGCTGGATGTTTGTGCAGAAAAACACATATTTCAAATACAAATAATAATAAACGTTTCGGCATGAATATCAGGTCATTCTCAGTGTAAAATATTGATGTTTGCAATACAAATTTAATAATTAATGAGTTTATGTCAATAATACTTAAAAAAGACATTTATAGCGTAATTATAAATGTGTTGGTCTTGTATTATCAGTCTGATTACTGTCCGCTGAAATATATCGAATTGATACAATGTTACTAATTTATCCAGAATAAAATTATTAAGAATGACATAAATAGAAGCAAGACTAAAGTCTATTACGTATGTAATGTACTTGCATGTTTTTCTGCACGAATATCCAGCAGTTGGCTCTTGTTGCCTTTTCTTATGTATTGATAGTTAAATCATATCTTAAATCTTTAAGAATTTTATTGTATTTTTTGGTTCTTTTAAATGCATTATCAAGGAATTACAAGTGTATGAATTTGATGTTGAAATTTAAAGGAGTACATATCTTAAGAAAAGTTAAATTTTGAGCATCAGAAAATCGCCTCCAAATTGTCTATCTATCTCTAGTGACTTTGGGACACTCTGTGTACGTACATTTTATAGCACACTTTTCAGCTTCATCTGGTTTATATGGATACTTTTAGCCCTTCGCATATATCCACGCGCGCAAACAGCTTTTAGAAAGCTACCGCGCCGCGCGCTTATCGGCGGCAGCACGATATTCTATGCTCTCGTAGCGTAAAGCTTTTTTTAAATGAAGTTTAAATCCTACTTTTTATGACATGCGTAACATAAAAAAACAGTCGAAATGATAATGTGGGAGCAGGACACATTTTCTTTCAATTACGCTTTCATCGAATAGTTTATTAAATTCTGCTGGAAAATTTTTTACCAAAAAGCAAATCATTTTTTTAAATTAATTGTTTCAGTATTGATTACTACTGCAAAAACAACACTCTCGACAGAACGTGGTATATTAAAAACGATTTGATTGTAATAAATTTTAGAACTCGCGACGAACAATGACGTCACTCGACGTTTTTGCCGGGGGAAATCGACTTGAAATTGGTCAAAGAATTCAGAGATGAAAAGTGACTCGTGATCTAGGACACGGTGTATAAAAGAGAGTTATTAAGTCAAGCCCGGTGAGTGGCTGTGTTCGCTTTGCTGTATGCATTTCGCTATCGTAGAGAATTTAATAAGTTGTCTGCTATCTCGCTTCTTCCTTCCCATCCATCGCGGTGGAATGCATTCGATCCTCAAAACAGCACTTTCCGGTAAGTTATAAGCCAACATAAACGATCTACTGCAATATTATCCACGCTCATAAAGAAGAGCTATTATAAGAGAAATATTATAAAGCGACGAACAAGAGACTGGAGTCTCGCAAGCGCATAATAGATTTTATATAGCTATGTTTCATTTAGAGTTATATTTCTTTGGAGTGATTTGACGCGTGTTCGCATTTAAACTGATAGTTGGAGAGCGGATTTTTTATAGTTTAATAAACTGTGCAGCTGTTTCACGTCGCATTCTTTTACAGCGCTCTTATAACATTTATATTTTTGTATTCATATCCGTTATGTAACCTTTTTTCAAAAGACTTGAAGACGTCTTGTGTGTGTCTGACGAGCATGTTTGTTTACTGGCACAGCGCTGTATATTAATTACTTGTTGAAAAAACTGTCGCGAGCAAGAAAAATTTTCCCTCGATGCATATACGGCTGTGTCACGACAAAGCTAATGCGCTACAAAGCTAATATATTCAAATTTTACATTTTTATTCATGATAAAGAGTCAGCATTTGAAAAATGTAAAATACGATCCACGAAACTGCAAGGGTAATTAAGCATTGCATAGGCGAAAAAAAAACCTAAACTTTTCCGCTCCATTTTCCGTAATAAAAATGCGATAGCGATTGCACGGCAAAGATGTGATTTGGAAGGGTCACTTGTCTCGTTTCAACAAACGTTTGTTCCCTGATACGTCGTGCTATCCGCTAATTATTTCGACATTGTTCGCGATCGCAGAATACCACGTTGTGCGTGCAATGTTTGTTAATTAGTCGCGGCAGCATTCGATGGGCTCCGGTCGAACAGACCAGTTGTTTGCGTCCGAAACGTAATAATGCATCCGTGTTCCAAAACACGATACTCTCCATAAGATCCAATATTCACATTTACGATCGCTGCCAGAAAATTATTTACCAAATGTTCAAAATTACACGATATCAGTCGATATCATGGCTTTTCAAAATATATCAGAAAAGTTTCACCTTTGAATTCTTTGTTTAATTATTGATTAATTAGAATAACGCGCTGAAAAAATTGCAAATATTGTTGATGAAAAAAGATAAATTGTCTAATATTTTAAACCAAAATTATGTGAGATTGTGTGAGTTTCTAATTTCACATATTAATCAAGATAATTTGATTTTGACATCGAAAGTGAGAATTTACTTGCTGGTTGATTTATTAAAGATTTTGCGTCTACATGTTTCGTGTTACAGCTTATCGATTTATCGAGGACAATTATCGCGCCTGTTCGATATATATCGGTTATTACCATGGTTAAGAGTAATTAGTGTTAATTGAACGAAGAGATGGAGAGAAGGAGAGTCATACCAGCTCTCGAAACCCGAGTGAACGATCGTTTAACGGCCAATTAAATCTCTCGCCAGGTTGCGCCGCTTCTCGCGACGGGATCACCGTTGTTTGCCGTTGTCTCCCGATTACCAACTATTCCAGGACCAATCCAGGCCTGGTGGTCAAACTGGACGAAGTGCGGTAAGTGTGACCAAAACGTTATTAGAGTAAGCGAACTAGTTTCGGCTCGGAATCCTTAAGGATTAATTCGCAAGAAGCTATTTTGGTTTCCGGTGAAACCGCCATCCGAATAACATTTAAGATATATCCTTTTGCCTTTTTATTTTGATAAATAAATATTTTATTAAATACATATTTCTTTTCTTTCCAGTTTGACGTTATTTTTATTTATTTTTATACTTCACTTTTGAGAGAGTGCACTTATATATATATACTTCACTTTTGAGAGAGTGCACTTATACTTCACTTTTAAGATTGCAATCAAAACTTTTGATTGCTTTTAAGTGAGCAGTAATTAAAAATATTAACTTAGTTGTCCATCACGGTACTATAACAATGAAAAATAGTCTTGCGAGTTAATATACATACAGGATAAGTCCAAAGTCCTCTCACAAATTTACAAGCAATTCTATATTCTATAACACAAAACTAGCAAAGCTTATCAGAAAATTTTTTACGCCTGCAATTTTGACGACAGGATTTCGGACTGTATCTCCTTCCGAAACAATTTAAGATTTATGATAAAATAATGCAGAAGGAATGGGAGGAAAATTCCTACTTTGAAACAAGCGCTTACTTCTAATTGAATTATTTTTGGCTACATTTTCGTTCGAATCGAATTAGTATACAACTTTACTCGCGCTTTATCGCAACGCGAAACTCTCGGGATTCATCGAAGGAAAAAAATCTCCGCATGCCGAACGCATTTTCATCAAAGCGTTCTCGATGAAATTTCTGTTCTTTCTATCCTGCTTCTAAATGTAGCCGAGTTTCGTCTGGCAAACGGCGCAAAAGCATTCTTTTCTCTTGCCTTCTATTTCTCCGTTCTTACTTCCGTTAAATTTCTTTTTTTGCTCGCTTTTTTAATTTCCCGCCTACTCTTGTTCCTTTTTTTACCTGCCTTTATGTTGCAATATAAATCGATTTGATTTTACGACTGGCATATATATAAAGGTGCGCGTGTAATCGGATTTTCATCGGGTTTTTCGTTTATGGCAGACGCGTGCGCGTGCCGTTGTCAAGCAGCCGCGAAGTAAAGGACTTCAATCTACGGCTGATATTCGTTCTCTACGCACCTGTTGAGCTTATTAACAAAGTGAATTTACATCTGCTTTCTTGTTAGACACGTTTCTTCGGGCTAAGTCTTCAACGAGTGATGTATCGCGAAAAGTTAAAAGTGCAATATTGAAAATTGAAACCGCGCGATAAACGATAAAATTTCGACGCGAGGAAAAATCGATTTGAACTTAATTAAAAAATTGAAAATAATGCCTATAAGATATAATTAAATTTCTAAAGAATAAATAAAAATAAAATTTCTAAAGAATAAAGAATAATTTGGTCCAGCAACACAGCTCGTTATTGCGTTGGCGGTATCGTCAGGTTCTAATTAACTCAACGCGTTAAAACTCTGCGCGAGCGCTCGTTTGGCACTCGAAATATCGTGTTATATCGACACCGCTAAATTCGTTGAAATATGCAATGCGCGTCGGCACAAGAGACAAGTATACTCGTGGGATCTTGATCAACCGGAAATGAAAATTTTAATTTCCGCGACGGGTGTCGTGTCGCCAACGCCTGTCATATACTGGATATTTCAGACCACAGTATTTCTCTTCGACTGTGAATTTCTCCGGAATAAAACTGTAGATTTATTATATTTATTATTGGATAGCAAAATAACTTCTTTTTTTTAATATGATATTTGTTATAATTTTATCATTGATAAATATTAATAAGAACATTCTTATATAAATATTATATAAGAACAAATTTGATAAAGTTTGAATTTCGTCTTTCTGCAATTAAAAATGGCTTAGTGACTTTCTGGTACTCTGTATTATTTATTCATCGCGGAAGAGAGTCGAATCACGAGAGCGGAAGCTCATTTCAAGCGCACGATCAACGCCGTCGGCGAACGGAAGAACTTGATGTCGAAATCGAGTCCGACGTTTCCACTGACTCGTGCGAATCAACGGCTGAATTATTCATCGACGACGGTGCCGTTGCCCTCCTTAAAGCGCTATCCGTACCCTTGTTTTACCTCTCGTTTGATCGCATCCGGATCGATAAGTCGATAAGCGGCACATTCGCTGATCGATAATGTAATATAGAGAATGTCTCGCTACTGACGCATCCCTTAATGATACTCGACGCTCGTGTAATCGAACGGAGCGAGGTCGCACCACAACCTTCAGTTTTAAAAAGTTATATATACTCCGCGAACACATTTTCTCAAAAGTTTTCTATTAGTTTCAATGATGTACTGTGGAAAGTTTCGTTTTGTAGTAGCAATTTATGGTAGCACGAGTCATGGCGCTCAACACACATTATTATTTTAGTCGAAAAGTGTTTAGTCGAACAAAATGAGTAAACGAATTCGTCTTTAAGGTTAAGAAAGTAATGTTTACTTGAATAGCGGTAAAAGTCCGGAAAAAATCTGCCAAAATGGCTGTCAAGTGTCGTTGAATTATTAAGCGACAAATCTACCGAGCTCCCTCGAGCAGACGGTAAATTCGCAACGACTTCTTGTTACGTTTCGCGAGAAAGGACCGATAAACAATTCAGCGCTGCTCACGGGAAGAATCATGAGGGGAACAATAAAGGGGTAACGTTATTCTCCGGCGAGAGATCGAGCCAGCGACGGGAATCCCTATTTATGGCGACTGTTCCGACACACACACGGAGTCCGGATATTCCTCGCGAGAATTCCGCGACGTACCATAAAGCACGCGGTCGATCCTCGATGGATGCGAAATCGATGGCTGTCCATCGTATCGCGTTGTACGGCAAATCGGACACGCAGCCGATTTGCCATACAACGCAATGCGATAACCATCGATCTCGCGAAACCAAAGCGGAACTTACGTTTTCTCGTCACTCATGATTCAAGGGTGCTCTTTTGAAGCGATGAAGAACGATGAAGAACGAAGGGTGAATAGGTTGGTTTTTGACACGCCGACAGGAAAATTGATACGCCAAAGATGAAAGGAAATTAAAATCATAATACGCTGCTTATTTCTGATTATTTATATTCTTCAAAAGATTCGAAAATTGTAGCAGAGGACTTTAAATTCACTCCGCAAATTAAACAATCAGCTGTCGTATTTTTAAATACGCTTCTGTCGGAGCTTTTGGCTCTTTTTTTTTTTTCTTTTTAGAAAATAAAAGTGCAGCGAAACAGGACGCGCTCGATAGCTCGGCACAATTAAAATGCAGCTAATGCTTAAGCCGATTTCCGTTGCAGCATCCAATATACTCTCATCGGTCCTTTCTCCCTGTCTTTCTCTCGCTACAACTGAAAACATAATTGACTAAGCTCGCGCCGGTCGAAAGCACTTTTCGTTAAAAGCGGGCGAGTGTAACGCGAACGGACGAACTCTTTGCGTTTAATTTCCGCTCGATTACGTGCGAATGCGCATTAAAAAGACGATTAAGGGATTTCGCGTCGCGTCGCGACGCATTTTCGTATCTCTTCAATTCTTCCGTCTCTCTCTCTCTCTCTTTCTTCTTTTCTCTCTCTCTCTCTCTCTCTCTCTCTCTCTCTCTCTCTCTCGTCGTACGTACGTACGTACGTACGTACGTACGTACGTACGTACGT